GATGCCATTGTAAGCAACTTTCCATAGGATTTGGAACAACCTTCATGTTTTTCGCCGCCTTCCACCCATTCCAGAATTGCCCTTCCACTTCCACAATCACGAACCATGGAGGTCCCTGGTGATAATCTAGTGCGCCTAAAAATTTGTAGATAAATAGACGCTCCGCTTGAATATCACCGAGAAGGCTTCCACAGCCACGTGGTACGAGAGCTTACATGGTTTCCAAATAGCAAGGGCTCAATCTCTTCTTTACTGGTGACTGTCTTCTTCCTTATCTATGCAAAGAAAATAGGGATCCACCAACGACTGAGATTGGTTCAACATGCATGAGCCTATAACACACTGTGTGTTACCAAATGCAACAGGCCTTAGCTTAACGCACTCGATACTGCCTACTTAATGTTGCGCCTCCTTTGCAGAGAGGGAGGCAAAGAGAGGTCAGCTTGTTGTTATATGATTTCCAATCTGTCTGTGTCATACATGTTTCATGCGCTGGGTTGGCTCGGGATAGCTTCACCCGCTTCGGCGACTGTTGTTGCAAACATCTCCTTAAACCACGGTGGCTACCAAATGATAGTTTGTTTCTTTGCAAATTTGTGAATATTTTAAAACAAATAAATAGAACTGCAAAGTATTCGCTATATGCTTGACAAGGACATGGGTTAGGATTATGAACGATGTTATAAATCGTTAGTTCGTTTTCAGCTTCATACAACTTAGTCACCAATTTTAGAGTCAATGTTGCTATGCCACTAAGGCACTAATTTACAGCACTTGCTCAAATGTGCACGAGGATGTGATCGGCTTCTAATGTACATGCTTCTACACACAAACTGGAACATCATAGGATCAAGAATAACCCTAGCCATTTGAAATGTTAGAATAGAATAACAAATTCTTAGTACGTTGTATTTCTTCGTTTATTGTTGCGTGATTCTTCTCCACTGTCACATATCATGTAGTGATCTTAAATAGAGTCACAACAAGAAGTTGGGGTAATAAAAAGCATTAATATGCATAAGTTACTTAAGTTTCCCCTGCTAATTTATAAAATCGTTTTTTGGAATGAGCCTCAACCGCTAATTACTTGTTTCACTTCATTCCAAAAGACGACTTTATTTTAATACATTCACTTTTTTTCCACATCATGTACCCTGTTAGACCAGTGCCTTTTGCCTCGCTTACTCACACGACGACCAGTTGACGGGACATCTGCGCCGAAGTCTTGTCTATTTATACCTTGGATGGGTGGTCGAGAGGATATATGCAGACTACAGGCGGGCTAAACTCCGACACTTGTAAGTGGCAGCTCAGATGCCTGCAGAAAATTCTAGGCCACCTACCTCTAACAATGAAGTGGAACAAACGACAAAACTCCAGCATTCACAATTTCAGCAAACTCGACCTGATTTGTAGATGACTGTGCTGTCAAAACGCTGAGTCCACCTTTCAACACGGTCAAACGACGAGTGCCAATGCGCTGACTCTAGTGCAACCCAGAACAAGAAGTTCCATAGGATTGCATTCAGAATGGTATTTAGATGGCGCTTACAATTTTGATTCCTTGTTCAGCGGGTATGATGAGGCCATCTGGCCTGGATGGACTAGCGCTTATGATGAGCGGAGATTTCGAGTCAATTACTTACAACGGATGCTCTAAAAAACAACCGAATCCTAGCAATGTACAAGGTCATATTCTGGCCTCGTTTCCAAAGTGCCTGAATCGCGAAGAGAATGCCAATATTTACTGCAAGACATCGTTGTTGAGCCGTCTTTGACGTTCCACTTGCTCAACAAATGCGGTGATAAGGACTTCGTCACCCATGCAAGAGGGGCTAATCGTCGACGCAAAGGCTTCAATCCAAGGGTGATGACTGACGACCAATTGTTGTGCCTAATTTTCGTCTGCAGTTTACTGTCGTTCATCAACTCAGATATTCGAA